GTTGCTTGGTGTTCCACTTGTGTGAAGCAGCAGCAGACCTCCACTTGTGTGAAGCAGACCTCCAATGATGTGTCCCTGCTCCTTCAAAAACTAGATGGACGAAATCCTGCACCACCCAAGAAACCCAGCAATTATGAATCCCCTGCAAATGCCAACGAACCATGGCTTCAACCATGGTTTCCAAGTGGTGCAAAATGGATTTCGCAGCCATCCACAGCATGTTGGCCTCAAGCACTCGGACTGCCCCTCGACGACCTCGGCTGCTTCCCCCCCCCCCCCCCAGCCGCCGACACGTCGCTTCCTTTCGCCGCCGGTGCGTCGGTTCCGAACCGGCCTCCAGGTGCTGCAAGACGCCCAAGGCGACCCGCCGGACTTCCGGCGGCAGAGTGTCCACCACATCCTCGGAGCTCTGTCGATGCCCAAGGGAGGCGGGGGTCTGCAGTGGAGCTCGCCGAAAAATGCGAAACAGGCATCAGTCCAATACACAAGCAGTAACAACTCCTCTTCAATTAGATCAGCCCCGATTCTCGCACATTCAAATCCACTGCGTATCAAGTTCAGAAGAGGCTTGATGCGTTGCTCTCACCAATCCAAAGCACATTGAGGCAAACACCCTCCTTGCCATTTGACAAACTGAGAACCCTATCCAGCAAACGATCCATTGAACCCCAGAGCTGCTCGGACCACTCCTGAGCTTCTCTGGGCGCTGTCTGGCCAATTGCAGATTTGGAAGACCTGTTCCGAATTCACAAATTTGGCCGGGCTTGTTGAGTAGGCATATGCACATCAGGGCCCGCCGTGATCAAGCATGGGCCCCCCTCCAGGCGTGGCTTTCTCAGACGGCTTCACACACCTGTCAAAACCAGCAACCCCTCCAAATGCTTCCCCGCTCAAGTCAGCTTCCCAATCACGTGGACTACCAGAAGGGCCCCGGCTCTTCAAAGAGGGTCCGGATGAGTCCACGCTTGTTTCGCACAATCACTTCTCGGCCGCACCGACCTCGACGCGGAACCGGCGGAACCGGCGGAACCGGAACGGGGCGCTCGCAGCAAGTCCACCACCACGGCGGTGACGGCCGTGTTGGGCATCGCCAGGCGCGCAGAGAGGCGCTCGATCTTGCGGAACCGCGCCTGCCGGTTCCGCGCATCGGACGCGCGATGCGCGATGCGCGGGGGGGGGGGGGGAGGCGCTCGGTGGACCAAACAGCCGCGATCCAAAGGTTTTATCCAAAGCGATCGAAAGGGCTGCGGGTCGTTCCGCCCGGTTGGGGGATATGGAGCTGGATGTAAAAAACCGATGAATCGGGTGAGAACGAAAAAAATGGAGGATGGAACTGAGAAGTGCACCTCGTGCAGATCCAGGCCTCACATGCCAGGAGCCTCGACTCGAAGCTCCGCTGCTCCTGAAGCTTCCAATGAATCTGTCAAAGGCGTCCTACGCACAGCCCTTCCCGGGAAACTGGCCAACTCGTGTCCATGGCCGCCTTCGCACCAAAAAGCACAAATCCATCAAAAAATATCAAAAGCCAAAAAAAGAGCCGCCCTGCCCCAACTCCCACAAGGCTGTTTTGGGGAGTGGGGGGTGGTTTCAAGAAAAAGGGCTGCCTCTTGGAGGAAGGGTGACTAGGTGACTGGGTGACTAGAGCCTCCCTGCCTCCGGAAGGCCAGAGTGCGTCTTGTGCCAGTCCTGCGGACTGGTGGATCCTTGACCCCTGGGCCCCTTGCCCACCCAAGTGCTTGGGCCATCAAGCAAACTTCTCGGTTGCGAAATCTGCGAAGCCCTACTAAAAGTGAATCACTTTTAGTGGTTTAAGACGGAAAACCCATTAGTTGGCAAAAAGTTAAAGTCCTATCATCCAAGCAAAATGCACCTCTGAAACCACACACCCAGAAACCCATGCAGCAAAAATCCACGTGAGAACGAAGAGGTGGTCTAGTCCCTGCTGCTATCTCGCGGATACACAATGTTCTGACCACTGGTTGTCTGGTTATGATGGATGTCACGTTAGTTCCCGCTCAAAACAGGCCCCAACCGGGCCCGACCCTTCCTTCACACATTTGAGTTCAGCTCAAGACTGGAACACCGGTGAAAATGGACTTGGGTGTCCCTGCAGCTGCCCTTGAAAAAAACAGAACAAGCAACAGGGGGACCACACAAAAATATCGTGCCCCTTGTTTTTGTCGGCTTCCGGAAGGGAAAAGCGCACACACACACACACACACACACACACACCTCGTTTCCAGCCCACACCTCAAGCGCCAAGAGGGACACCGGGTCCCCGAAGGCAGCACCCAGCGCAGAGGGCAGGACCTGGGGTCGAAGGTCTGGCAAGTTCTGGCACCGGCCAAACCCAAAACCATCGGCATCAATACCTGTATGTATGCAGGTGGGTAGGTGGGTGAGTGGATGGGTCAGTCGGTGGGTGGGTCGGTTGGTGGGTGGGTGGGTAGACCCTCCTCCCCATCCCACACGCCATGCGAGCGGCGGGGTAGCCGGCATCAAGCTCCTCGGCCTCCTGGGAGGACCCTTCCCGCAGCCTCAAAGGCTTGGGTCAAGTTTGGCATCGGTTCCCTCTTAGTTTGCCAGCGCGGCCCCATGGCGCTCCCCAGGCTATGCTCGGACCATGCTGAAGAATCACTTCACTAAGCATTGTCATCATTGCACCAGAAGAAAAAGAAACAACATAGGAAAAAAAAGATTTTTTTTATTTAAAAAAAAAAAAAAAACAAAAAAAAAAAAACGAAGGAACAAAAAGAGAGAGAAAAAAAGGAGGAAAAAAAAACGAAGGAAACAAGAAGGGAAAAAAGGAACGACTGCAAAGCACCGGTGGCCGGAACACCCGCCTGGTGGAGACTGGTCTGCGCACCTGGCCCCGCATGCTTTTGTTGTTTTGGTTTTTGCTTTTTGCGTCTTGGTGCGGCTCGGCGCTCATAGAGGTACCAGAAGTGCCACGCTTCCCCGTTGAATCGTGGCATACGTTACACCCAACAGTCACATACTCTCATGTTAGCTTGCAATCCAAATGTCACATGTGATGCGTCCGCAATGGAAAATCCCAAGCAGAGCCTCTCATGAAGGAGTACCTGTTTAGAGTAGCTGATATGGACCATGAATGCTTCGGCAAGCATTCGTCGGTTGTGTGCGTGTAACATCTAGGAAAACCATAAATTCATGATTGTCACTAGTAAGCAGCAAGCCCCTACCAAACCAGAAGGTATCAAACCAGCATCTTACGTTCACGATTCTTTGAATTCATCCCACTGAAAACCGTCCCTTCGCTTGCCTTCAACCTCCCCCCGACTCTGACAGGAAATCGGGGCCTGGCCTAACTCGTCGTTTATGACCCCCCAACCGGCCCAACCGGCGCTGGTTGTATCCTGAAGTTGCGATCAGGTGCCTTTGAAATAAAGCCTGGAGTTGTCCAGGCACCAGGGAAGCACCACCGAGCTTCTGGTTGCAAAGACTGTCGCTCGTGGGGCATCATTTTGTGGGAATCCACGGTCAAATCAAACAACTCAACATGCTCTATGCCGGGTCCACATATCTGATGAGGCACTCAATGGAAACATCGGATTTTACAGGAGAACCGTACTAATTAGGAATGGTTGACAATATGTTCCATTTCCAGCGGAGTAAAGTCCTCAATCCGATGTTATCATTTGCTTTCCAACAGAAACAACAAAAGCGTACCTTGAAAAAGGATGAAACCGGTACTCCCTCTCAAAAAGGACAGACAAACCTGTCCTCAGATCCCCCGCTCAAAGTGTCACTTTTGGTGAGTTATAAATGGAAATCCCCACTAAAAAGCCAAAAAAAAAAACGCTCAGAGGCTAAGGGACCGGATGGGCCTCGCGGGCCGACAGCGGGCCATCCAGGGACGGCAGCTTGGGGCGCTCTCGGCTTGGCCTGTGTGGGCCGAGGTGAACCGAACGCGAAAGGGAGTCGACGTAAGTGCCCACACAAACGCGCGAGAAACAAGAAGAAGGGAAAAAAAGAAGTAAGAAAGCAAGCAAGCAAGCAAGCAAGAAAGAAAGAAAGATCGAAAGAAAGAAAGAAAGCAAACAAACAAAAATCAACAAACAAACAAGCAAACAAACAAACCAAATACACAAGGACATGGTTGTGATCCGTTATGCTGCAATATATACGGTGATGTTATTACGATACATACATGTTCACATTGGTTGGGTCGCTGCAGGGAGATTCGCGGGAAGGATCCCAAGCGCTCACTGCACACTGGCCATGGCAATCCAAGCTACTATTTTGGACTCGCTCAATGCGCCTGTAGGTCAAAGGAACGGACGCCGGCATTGATGCGACATCGGACGCAAACCAGCAGGTGTGAGCAGCCCTGGTTGAAAAGAAAGCTGAACTGACCTCCCCCCATCAAGCATTTCGAACAGAATCGCCAGTCTGAGCAAGAGTTCAAGGTGTCCGTTCAAATTAGGTGTCCGTTCACCAAGCCGTTCGGCAACTGCTTAAAAACCCGATTCTGCATCCAACCCTGCGTAGGGTGGCTCATGTTTCGAGACCAAGATGGTGGTTCGTTTGCCTGAATTCCCCAAGGGAAGCTAAGGCGCTCTCTTTGGCGCCACTCGGAACCAAAGGAGAGCGAGCAGCGACGTGCCTGATTCCGCTTCAGAACGACCAGTCAAGCGCGCACAATCAATGGCTGTTGTATGATGCTGTACAAGCTAAGGACTAACCAGCCTTACAAGAACTGACATGAGTCTTCGGGGGAAACAACTAGGATGGGCGAGGAAGTTATCAAGCATTGGAAAAATAGAGTCGTCATGGCTCAAAAGATCACATTGGTTTAAAATATCGAGACGGCCGTCGGCAGTTGCTGCCACATTCCCGCGAAGTCTTCCCCGCAGAAATCGCGAGTGCTATCCCAGCGCTATCGGCCAGTCTGTGAAAGCCAGCTGTGAGGCAGCTTGACTCGTCCGACTGGGATGCGAGCACTGGGCAGCACCATAGGCGACTTCAGTAACCCTCTCCTGGCATCTGACTCCAGGTGCTGCATGAACAAGCGCAGCTCCTGCGGCGTGTTACCATCAAAGTCGCCAGAGCGGTAGGCAGGTAAGCGAAAGGGATTCTGTGGCTCTGACTTTCCGTCAGTGGCTTAATCGAAGACCCTGCCGGTGGAAACTTGCTGCAACTAAATGTCTGGGAATATCCTGCCGCTGCCACACGAAAGCGACAGTGATTGGAGCAATCGTCCCTTGCAGACTCCCTCACCCAACTGTGTTGTGAATCATGAGTGTTTTCAGTATGGTCATTGCAACTGATGATGTCCCCACCCAAGGAACCGAGTGATCGTGCCATCCAGACAGAGTCAGGGACAAATGACTTCGGGCCTCATCATCACTGACTCGCAGCAGGACGATCCCGCGATGCCGATCTTCCACCACCTCGGCTCCATCTTGGCGCTTTGCACCGCGCCTGGGGACCCCTGTTCGGCCCATCTTAAACACATGGAAAAACTTCGGGACAACCTGGGCAAGGGACACATGAAGTGTAAGGCAAATGCTAACCGCTAAAAAAGAGGCGAAAAAAGGTAATGGTCAAACAACCCAACAGCGGCAATATAGGGAGCCTTGTCTTTGAAGGATCCAAAAAGAAGTCTCAACCAGCTGCAGTAGTCTAAGTGGCTTTCATGCATACCCTAGTGCCCTCGCAGCTCACAACAACCTCAAGAGCTTTGCTCGGCATGCTAAAAACCATGCTCCATGTAAAAAGGGGCTAACACCTTTCCGACAAAACATGAGCAACAAACAAGACGATAAGTTTTGACCAGGTATGCGACTAATCACTGACAACACAACGTGGCACATCCCCACAAGCCCTTGCGGCAAATCCCAGTCTCAGAGCGGAGCCTTGACAATGAGGAAGAGACCCCTGCGCACATCGAAATGTCGCAAGGCAAATGAGCCGAGCGCCCCTCTGCCCCGCACCGGTCGAAAGCTGCTGACCTATCCCAAAACATCGGCCGATGGACCGACAGGGCCTGATCCAGTTCAGGCACACGATGCCTTCGCGCATGATGCCTGGAAAGCTGGCCACCTGCGCGTGTGGCAAACAAAGAACGAACACAAAACATCACATGCCTCGCAACCGCCAATGTTAATGGTAGGTTCCTTCAAATTGGAGATGTACATGGGGAACCACCCACGGTCCCTAGCGTTTGAAATCGCCCCCGGCAAATTGATTTTCACGCGACCACAAGCCGGCCGGTCCTGTCGCTCAAGCTCGCGGCTGAAGTTTTCGGCGGAGCCAATGAAGCAACGCTCCTGGCGCGGCATTCACGTAAGAACCCGTGACGGTATGCTTTCACCAACCTGGCTATAAAGGCTTGTTTGGGCCCTTACTGTAATACCAGGGAGCAAAACCTCTTTCTGGATTCTGTCCCTGTCAGCAACATGAATTGGACCTGAAACGAATCACCGGTGGGTGGGGGGCCGATTTCCCACCATCCCAGCATCACCCGCCCCAAGCTGCAAGGAGCCACAGCCTGTGGCACTTGCCTGGCCAGTTCCTCACTTCGACGTCAGGGAGTCAGGGTTGCAGCTGGCGCGGTTTTCCAGGTCAGCAAATCTCCAAACCCAGGAAACAGGGCGAGAATGCGCGCAAATCAAGCACCAAATCTCTCTTCGAATTCTGGCGCACCTGAGTCGCAGCATGCTTTGATCTTGAATTCAAATACTCCATTAACCTTGGCCTTCGAGAGAGACATGAAAAGGCATCTGCGTATTCCGCCCTCCTCGTCAATGGAGGCGTATTCTGTCCAAATCTCACTGCGGAACCCTGAACCCCATAGCCAAACCTCAAGCCTCAGACCTAAACTCCGAGCCATCCTTAAACCGACCAGAAACCCCAACCTTAACCCTCCATTTGCTTAAGTCCCCTGGAAAAAATGAGAAAAAGTATGTCCACGATTCCCCTTAAAAACCCAACCGGGGAGAAACAAAAAGGAAAAAAGAAGAAAAACAACTCACCTCGCCGAATGGAAAAAGTTTCACCCCAACCCAACGGAAGCCGAACGCCGAAGCCAGCGGTTCCGGCCCGATGTTCTCTCTCCTCGATCAGCGCCGCAAGCTCGGGCCCGGTGAAGGACGCCAAGAGCTCGGCTCCTAAAACACATCTGGGTTTAAGTCTGCCTTAAAGTAGAGTGGAGTCCTGGTTTTAAGCTCAGTCATGAACTACTAGTCAAGTGAAGTCCTGGTTTTAAGCTCAGTCATGAACTACTAGTCAAGTGGAGTCCTGGTTTTAAGCTCAGTCATGAGCTACTAGTCAAGTGGAGTCCTGGTTTTAAGTTCAGTCATGAACTACTAGTCAAGTGGAGTCCTGGTTTTAAGTTCAGTCATGAACTACTAGTCAAGTGGAGTCCTGGTTTTAAGTTCAGTCATGAACTACTAGTCAAGTGGAGTCCTGGTTTTAAGTTCAGTCATGAACTACTAGTCAAGTTCAGTCATGAGTCAAGTGAGTCCTGGTTTTAAGTTCAGTTCATGAACTACTAGTCAAGTGGAGTCCTGGTTTTAAGTTCAGTCACTACTAGTCAAGTGGAGTCCTGGTTTTAAGTTCAGTCATGAACTACTAGTCAAGTGGAGTCCTGGTTTTAAGTTCAAGTGGAGTCCTGGTTTTAAGTCAAGTCCTGGTTTTAAGTCATGAACTACTAGTCAAGTGGAGTCCTGGTTTTAAGTTCAGTCATGAACTACTCGTCAAGTGGAGTCCTGGTTTTAAGTTCAGTCATGAACTACTAGTCAAGTGGAGTCCTGGTTTTAAGTTCAGTCATGAACTACTAGTCAAGTGGAGTCCTGGTTTTAGTTCAGTCATGAACTACTAGTCAAGTGGAGTCCTGGTTTTAAGTTCAGTCATGAACTACTAGTCAAGTGGAGTCCTGGTTTTAAGTTCAGTCATGAACTACTAGTCAAGTGGAGTCCTGGTTTTAAGTTCAGTCATGAACTACTAGTCAAGTGGAGTCCTGGTTTTAAGTTCAGTCATGAACTACTAGTCAAGTGGAGTCCTGGTTTTAGTTCAGTCATGAACTACTAGTCAAGTGGAGTCCTGGTTTTAAGTTCAGTCATGAACTACTAGTCAAGTGGAGTCCTGGTTTTAAGTTCAGTCATGAACTACTAGTCAAGTGGAGTCCTGGTTTTAAGTTCAGTCATGAACTACTAGTCAAGTGGAGTCCTGGTTTTAAGTTCAGTCATGAACTACTCGTCAAGTGGAGTCCCGGGTTTTTTTTGTTTGTGGGGAACTTGGGGTAGTCAAGAGTGGTCCGAGATGCCCGCCCGAAGCGCACAGCAAACTGCTGCCGCTTCCCAAAACGCTAAGCAAACGAACCACAGACCAAGATGGCCATGGGTCAAAATCCAAATCGTTCCCCCAAGAAATATCCCAATCCAACCACTAAAATAGACTAAAATGGGTGGTGCACCTACCCCAAAATGGTACCATTGGTTTTGACCCACAGCCATATGGGGCCGGAAAGGAAGAACGATAAAACCGACCTGAGTCAAAACCAAAACTTGGTACAAAAATGGTGAACCCAGAACATCATGTAAGGAATTGAAAAGGCGGATATCCGCACCCATGTACGGCTGGGACCGTCCCGTACTAACCTTCATCAATGAACCTCCAGGCAGAACCCCCGTAGCTTCCGGTGCTTTCCGCCCATCTAAGAGCCCCACTGGTGGGCGGGTGGCAGGAGAACTCAGTCTTGCACACGTTGCAAATCCTGGCCCACCCTTGGTGAAAGGTTTTGGAAACGCCATTTGGGTTCTGAAAAAGGTGGACCCCCTTTTGGATGGTTTGAAGGGGGGCCAACAGGAAGTTCGCCATTTCCGCCGTCGCAATTTTGACATTTTGGGTCCAATAGAGAAGGACACCAGCCGGCACGAGTTCCTAGATTTGACACAGTGCAGCTCAGGACCTGAACAACATCTCTTTGACGTTTCCCTTCGTTTCCCTAGCAGAAGTGATGGCTCGCCCTGTCTTTGGGACCTGGAGACAGTCACTGGGGCTGCCCCGCTTGTTGGTTTGAGTTTCTGTGTCTCTGGTTGCGCGCCTCTGCCGCGTGTCGTGGTCGTAGAGGTCTGGATGAGTTGGCTGCGACACCAAAACCGCACGCTGCCACATTCGCAGGCCTCAGGCTGACAGTTGGCGACCCCGCTGTCATTGGGGGAAGCTGGAATCCTCTGGGGGGGGGGTCTTTTTAGGGGACCCTTGCACATCCGTTCTCCTCACAACCTGCCAAGATCCGCCCTTGGATGCCGGGCATTTCAGGTGCACGAACTTTTGGCCCCCGGAGCATCGGCACGGTGAGATCAGTTCGTCCTCCTGTGGATTGCAATGTCTCCAAGGCACCACAAATTGTCTGCGCTGCAGTAGAATGAACTCAGCTTAAGTGCAGGAATGTCTTGCTCTGCAACTGCTAAATGTCGAGTTCTTCCGTTGCTTGATGGTGTATCCAAATCAGCAAACCCTTCAAATGGTAGTTACTCTTCTTGCTTCCGTTGAAGCAAGGCTATTTCTGACAAGAATCCTGTTGCGACGCAACCGGTGCGCTGACACATCCTTCTCTGCACTGCTTGCAAGCTGAAAACATGCATAAACGTCTACAATGAAAGAAGCTATTCCAAGGATATGCCCACATCAAGTGAGACTGAATTTCCGTTAGGCTCCAACACGTTCGGACAACCTCCCACCAAACCATTGGTCGGGGGCGTTCCAACCGGCTCGGACCACAATCCATAGCAAAATCTGCGCTCGGCACGAGGTCCACCCGGCCTCATCTCCTTCGAAGCAGAAGCGGCAAAGGTGCTCTTCCTCCACTTCCTGCGAATAAATAATAGTGAGCAACCCGCATTGCGGGTTGCAGAGGGGCAGGAAAAATGTGTCTGCGTGCGTGCGCGTCCGTGCGCGTGTGTGAAAGTGTGTGTCTGCGTGTCTGCGCGTCTGTGCCTGTATGTGTGTGTGTGTCTGTCTGGCTGCGTCTGCGTGTCTGTGTGCGTGTCTGTGTCTGCGTCTGCGTGTCTGTGTGTGTGCGTGTGTGTGTGCACTCACAAAAGCGGGAACAACAGGGGGGAAACCCGGGGCCTTAAAGCGACTGCAACCTCTTCCTAAAAATTCGGGCAACGTGCGCGCAGAAGCGCGCCCTTTCCTTGAACCAAGTGGTAAGGCATGCAATGACAATTTCATGCCATAACATATTGTCAACATGCAACTGCACAGTGAACCTCTGGGTCCTAAATGTCATCGTGATTATTGACTCCCCCCTCATTGTTGACTGAGGGAGTTGCTTGGGCGCAGCAAGGTATTCAAGCAACAACTGGGCATTTGCACATTTGCCGTTAATCTTTTGGGCTTGGCACAGCGCATCATGCTGCTGCTTTAGCGGCTACTTTCTCACGCACATCGTCAAGCTTATCAGGGAGAACAACACGAATGCCGAGCAACCCAATGGCATGATCCCATTTGTTGGGAGGAAGTGCTTTAGTGAAAATATCTGCTGATTGCATGTCTGTCTTCACGTATTCAATGGAATTGTTATCATTTTTGAGTTGCTCTGCAATGCGTGCGAGATTCACCTTATGATTCACCTTATGCGTGCGCTGACGCGTCTTTAGCTTCTAGGATGGTCGCCTGATTATCCTCGTGGATTTTAAGGTGCGTGGGCCTACTGAGCATCAGCTCCCAAAGGCTGACTGCGGGTAGTGCCTTTTGGTACAGGGAGTACGCAAGAGATACGATCTCCACTTCCATGGCTGAACGTGAAACAGAAGTTTGACGCTTCGACACCCACGCAAGGGGAAAGTGTGTATGCGGGCCACTTAACACCAGAAGTCCACCGGATGTCGACTTGGCATCCTTCTCCCCTGCGAAGTCTGCGTCCACATAGAGAGCGAGATGTAAGTAATCGGTCGGATCCTGCACTACTATTTACCGTGCTATTGATGTAACAGACTAATCTACGCAATTGCCTGTCGCAATTGCGCGACCACTTCTGCACATGGGAAGCAAGGTCTCCTATCGGCTTAATCAAGTCGGGAAGCGCGAGTCGCCCTAACCGGTACGGCGGATAACCACTCAAAAGAGGGGGAAACACAGTTTTCACTTTTCTTGTGAGCCAAATGGTAAGGCATGAAGCGACGACAATTTCATGCCATAACATATTGTCAACATGCAACTGCACAGTGAACCTCTGGGTCCTAAATGCCATCGTGATTATTGACTTGCGCCTGTGTGTCTGTGCGTGCGTGTGTGCGCCTGTGTGAGTGCGTGTGGAGCAAATCAAGTGTGTTTCTGTGTGTCCGTGTGTCTGGCTGCCTGTGTCTGTGTCTGTCTGTGTCTGCGTCTGTCTTGTCTGTGTCTGCGTCTGTGTCTGCACCTTCGTCTGCGTCTGCGTCTGCAGCTGCGTCTTCGTCTGCGTCTGCGTCTGCGTCTGCATCCGCGCGCGCCTCTGCGTCTGCATCTACGCCTGTGTCTGCATCTGCGTCTGCGTCTGCCTCTGCGTCTGCCTCTGTGTCTGCGTCTGCGTCTGCGTCTGTGTCTGTGCCTGCGTCTGCGTCTGCCTGCGTCTGCGGCTGTGTCTGTGTCTGTGTCTCTGTGTCTGTGTCTGTGTCTGTGTCTGTGTCTGTGTGTGTGCCTGCGTCTGCGTCTGCCTGCGTCTGCGTCTGTGTCTCTGTGTCTGTGTCTGTGTCTGTGTCTGCGTCTGCGTCTGTGTGTCTGTGGTTTTGTGTGTCCGCGTGTGGGTGTCTCGGTGTGTGTCTCTGTGGCTGCGCGCGTCTCTGTGTGTGTGTCTTTGTGTGTGTGTGTGTTTGTCTCTGTCTGTGTCTTTGTGTCTCTGTGTCTCTGTGTGTCTGTGTCTGTGTGTGTGTCTCTGCGTGTCTCTGCGCGTCTCTGCGAGTCTCTGCGTGTCTCTGCGTGTCTCTGCGTGTCTCTGCGTGTCTCTGCGTGTCTCTGCGTGCCTCTGTGTGCGTGTCTCTGCGTGTCTCTGTGTGCGTGTCTCTGCGTGTCTCTGTGCGCGTGTCTCTGCGTGTCTCTGTGCGCGTGTCTCTGCGTGTCTCTGCGTGTCTCTGCGTGTCTCTGCGTGTCTCTGCGTGTCTCTGCGTGTCTCTGCGTCTCCCTGCGTGTCTCTGCGTGTCTCTGCGTGTCTCTACGTGTCTCTGCGTGTCTCTGCGTGTCTCTGCGTGTCTCTGGGTGTCTCTGCGTGTCTCTGTGTGCGTGTCTCTGCGTGTCTCTGTGCGCGTGTCTCTGCGTGTCTCTGCGTGTCTCTGCGTGTCTCTGCGTGTCTCTGCGTGTCTCTGCGTGTCTCTGCGTGTCTCTGCGTGTCCCTGCGTGTCTCTGCGTGTCTCTGCGTGTCTCTACGTGTCTCTGCGTGTCTCTGCGTGTCTCTGCGTGTCTCTGTGTGCGTGTCTCTGCGTGTCTCTGTGTGCGTGTCTCTGCGTGTCTCTGTGTGCGTGTCTCTGCGTGTCTCTGTGTGCGTGTCTCTGCGTGTCTCTGTGTGCGTGTCTCTGCGTGTCTCTGTTTGCGTGTCTCTGCGTGTCTCTGTGTGCGTGTCTCTGCGTGTCTCTGTGCGCGTGTCTCTGCGTGTCTCTGTGTGCGTGTCTCTGCGTGTCTCTGTGTGCGTGTCTCTGCGTCTCTGTGCGCGTGTCTCTGCGTGTCTCTGTGTGCGTGTCTCTGCGTGTCTCTGCGTGTCTCTGCGTGTCTCTGTGCGCGTGTCTCTGCGTGTCTCTGTGTGCGTGTCTCTGCGTGTCTCTGCGTGTCTCTGTGTGCGTGTCTCTGCGTGTCTCTGTGTGCGTGTCTCTGCGTGTCTCTGTGTGCGAGTCTCTGCGTGTCTCTGCGTGTCTGTGCCTGTCTCTGTGCGGTATCCTCTGCGTGTCTTGGGTGTCTCATGGTGTCTCTGGTGTGTCTGTCTCTGAGTGTTCTCTGTGTGTCTTCTATGCGTGTCTCTGGTGTCTCTGCGTGTCTCTGCGTGGTCTCTGCGTGTCTTGCGTGTCTCTTGTCGTGTTCTGCGTGTCTCTGGTTTGTCACTCTACGTGTCTCTGCGTGTCTCTGCGTGTCTCTGCGTGTCTCTGGGTGTCTCTGCGTGTCTCTGTGTGCGTGTCTCTGCGTGTCTCTGTGCGCGTGTCTCTGCGTGTCTCTGTGTGCGTGTCTCTGCGTGTCTCTGTGCGCGTGTCTCTGCGTGTCTCTGTGTGCGTGTCTCTGCGTGTCTCTGCGTGTCTCTGTGTGCGTGTCTCTGCGTGTCTCTGTGTGCGTGTCTCTGCGTGTCTCTGTGTGCGAGTCTCTGCGTGTCTCTGCGTGTCTGTGCCTGTCTCTGTGCGCGTGTCTCTGCGTGTCTCTGTGTGCATGTCTCTGCTTGTCTCTGTGTGCGTGTCTCTGCGTGTCTCTGCGCGCGTGTCTCTGCGTGTCTCTGCGTGTCTCTGCGTGTCTCTGCGTGTCTCTGCGTGTGTCCGCGTGTGTCCGCGTGTCTCTGCGTGTGTGTGTGGTGTGTGTGTGTGGTGTGTGTGTGTGTGTGGTGTGTGTGTGGTGTGCGTGTGTGTGTGTGGTGCGTGTGGTGCGCGTGGTGCGTGTGTGGTGTGTGTGTGTGTGGTGTGTGTGGTGTCTGTGTGTGGTGTGTGGTGTGTGTGTGGTGTGTGTGGTGTGTGTGTGTGTGGTGTGTGTGTGTGTGGTGTGTGTGTGTGTGTGGTGTGTGTGTGTGGTGTGTGTGTGTGTGTGGTGTGTGTGGTGTGCGTGTTGGTGTGTGCTGGTGTGTGCTGATGTGTGTTGGTGTGTGTTGGTGTGTGTTGGTGTGTGTGTTGGTGTGTCATATGTGTGGGTGTGGGTGTGGGTGTGGGTGCGGGTGCGGGTGCGGGTGCGGGCGCGGGTGCGGGTGCGGGTGCAGGTGCGGGTGCGCGTGCGCGTGCTGCGTGCGCCTGGGCGGGCGGGCGGGCGGGGCGGGCGGGGGGGGGCTGCGTGCGTTGCGTGGCGTGCGTCGAGCGCGTGGCAGTGCGCTGCATTTGCGTTGCATTGCATTTGCATTGCGATGCATTGCGTGAGTTGTGCGTGCGTGGCGCTACTGTGCGTTGCTGTGTGTTTTGGGTTTTTTGTGTGTATCGCGGTGGCGTATTTGTGCGTGTGTGTGTGTGTTTAGTCTTTTTTTTTTTTTGGTGTGCTCTAGCCGTAGGTGGAGGTGTGTGGTGTGCCACTTAGCCTCAGAGCTTCAAATCCAGCTACGCGCGCGTGTGTGAGAGAGAATGTAACGCGCACGTATCTAGGGCCGTCCCCATAAACTTCTGCACGTTTGAACTAAACACTTGCAACCGCATTTGTACGCGAGAATTGATCAACAACTGCGCAGACTCCGCTGGTTCTAAAACGGAGTCGTCCCCAAATGAGTCACAATCAAAATCCGGTATTAAAATGGTCTACCCACAACCATGTAAAGAGTTGAGAAGGCAGCCGCAGCTATTTCTGCCTGACTGCCCCATACTAACCTTCATCTACCTTCATCTACCCAAGTTTTGATGGTGCCTCAAATCATCAGTGAACAAGAAAATGGTTGACACCGCGCGTCGTTTGCGCAAAGACTCTGCCCAAAGACCTGAGAATCAAGATCAAGGCCGTAGACTCACTTGCCGCATCTAGAGAACCAACAGATCAGACCCGGTGGATTCTGGATGTGATTCTTTGGCGGACATCATTTACCATGGCAATTGATGCACACCATGGGAACTTATGCAAGGGCCTCCACCAATGGCCACCCTTGCCCAAACCGGCCCAAGACCAGGCAGAATCAGATTGAAACGGGAGGCCTTCTCAGCTGGGCCGCTGTCCTTCACCTCGCCGGTGGTCGTCTGGCAGCCGGGGGTCTTTCTTTGGGGAACCCCCCTTTGGCAGGTCCGGAAGCAAACCAACCACCTGAGTCACAATCAAAACCCCGGTACACAAATGGTCGACCCAGAACCATGTAAAGAACTAAGAAGGCGACCGCAGCTATTTATGGCTGGGATTGTCCCTTACTAGCCTTCACTTACCCGGGTTTTGATTATGGCTCACCTGACTATGAGACAAACCTGCTCTAGTTGTTTCCTAAAATTGGGAGAAGATCCCGTCTAATAACTGGAAGCACTCCAAAAGTTAAACCTGGGAAGTGGCCCCCGCCGAATCAGCCTCAGAGGCCTCCGAGGCCGAAGTCGAAGGCGTGGCGGGATAGCCTGGGTTTCGTTTGGAAGCGCTCGGAGCATGAGAAGAGCCCAGAGGTGAGTCCTTGGGCTACTTGCCCGACCTGGTCACTGGGCGGGAAAATGGCATGAGATGGTTGGAAGGTGAGTGGGACCCTGTGTGAGTGCTTGCCCCACTGAAGCCGGATCAATTCCGGGCTACGATCCTATGCTCATTCTCGGATCGCTCAGGATTCCAGCATGGACCAACAAATACCCGTACCCCATATCAGAAGCCCAACTCCGCTCGCAAGCATCCCACCGACCGATCCAAAATCCCTCACGGCAAGCGCGCGCGCA